GCTAGAAAGTACACTTGAGTATCGGTACTGGGGAACGGATATTACCATGCGGATGTTAGCTAAGATCCTTCATCGTCAAATTTTTCTGGTAGCTGCGCCAAAGGGTCTGGCGAAGGCCATTTACGAAATTTTCGATCCAGCAGATGTCAAGAAGAACGGGGAGAGCTTTTCATCGGTAAAAGAAAGGATCTTCTACTCAGGTCAGCCAAGGCGATGGATAAATGAGCTACAGAAAACATGTCGTTCGGAGGCTGTGCAATCATCTACGCCGATAGTGATCCTTCTAAACGGAAACCACTATAGCTGGCTTAAGTTTGACACGAGAATGAACACAGAGGAGGAGGACGACATGGAGATAGTAACCGAGACCCCTAAAGGATACCACGATGCAAGTCTGACTACTATCGTCGAAGAAGACACAGCTATGGAGGAAGTAGACGTAGTAGAAGAACGAGACGAACCAACAGAAATGGAGGTGATCGAAGCAATAGGAGGTGAGCGAAAGGAAGAATTGCTGACATTCCCAACGGAAGGAATTGCTGGTCAAGCGCCCAGTACAAAACGCCAACTCCGTGAAGCAGACCTTTCTGGCTCAAGAACACTGGATGATTGGGCACGAAAACTAGATGTCGAACCGTCCGAGCTGCATGGGCAGCAAAACGAGCTCCAGCAGATCACTTCCACATATACTACGTCTCAGACAAATAGTAGCGCGGATCAAGAGTCGGAGTGGGCTCCGTCGCCAGAAAAGGAGGATCAGTCGAAAAAATCGTCAAACTCCGGGAGCGGGAGATTTAATTCTGAGGGCCTAACATTGGGAACGAACAGACTTAGGGAGAAGGCGTTAAAACAAGAGTGGAATCGTAAGGCAGAATCATGGAAGACATCAACTGACGCATCATGTCCATCTCTACCAGCAACAAATGCCCATTGGATGGAAGCAGTAAGAACGACTCCAAGAGAACTTTTGCAGCTCTTACAAGACTTCTCTTCACCAGACTACGTATTAAGTACGATGACGGACGCAGTTTTGGACGAATGGACACTAGAAACGCGTCGGGACTGTCTAACAGAGTGTATTGAAGCATTGATATTGACTTCTACGCAGCCCGACACAGTGGAGTGGCTATCAGAATGGAGAGATAGATTTCTGAGCCAAGATCGGACAGGCGCTAACGGCTTCAACCTATACCCAAAACGTTTCTGGGAATGGATGAAGAAGAATAAGTATGGGGAATCCGAACTTCTGAAACTCTGTAGGGGCTCGGAACGACAGAAACTATCCCGTTTGATTCTCGTTTCTTACGTATATCGTTCAGAACTGCTGGAAATTTGCAGTGAGAAGACCTCGTTTCCAAAGACGACTAAAGAACATCTTCATGTACTCTTTGGTGTATTACAGGACCATCCTGAGCTCCATTCAGCCATACACAGCAAGGATACAACTGGTTACTGGGCGGCCCTAGAAACCAAGCTTTCCGTACTCTCTCTGAGGCCAAATGAGCAAGCCCGCGGGCAATCCAACCTGTCAAATTAATGATATGGAAATGGTAGAAGAAACAACACCTACGGAAGACTATTATGCAGAACTCTGTAACTTGGAAACACTATTTGAAGCCCCAATCGGACGCCAGCCCAAATCCAAGCACATGAATTTGGTGATTGCATCCCAAAATCTGCGAGGTTTCGCTAAGAAATCTCGAAGGAAGTGGATAAGTGGCTGGAGACGGAAGAGAGGACAAGAAATGCTAGATATCATAATGGTGCAGGACACTGCATTGAAAAATGAGAATGAAAAGGACGAAATACAAGAACAATGGGAACGAGTATGGCAGGTGACTAACAGCGATAATCCACTCAGCTTCTGGACAACAGCTAGTTCAAATGCTGCAGGAATGGGGATCCTTTTTTCACCTCATCTAAGAGATAAGATCACTCCATGGCAAAAACAAAGCTGGACCTCACGTGTGATGGCAGCGGAGCTCAATGGATGGCTACTAGTCAACATATATGCCCCCACCCAAGCTAAGGACAAACGACAATTTTTTCAGGATCTTGAACCTTGGCTAAAATACCACGGCTCAATTGTCCTGGGAGGCGATTTTAATTGCGTCTTACGACCAGAACGGGATCGGGTAGTAGCGAGGCGACCTAGTTTCGCAGCGTGTGAAAGCCCTGAACTACGACAACTGATGAACAGGAGAGAATTTACTGATGCGATTGATCTCAATCATGATCTAGATGATGATAGGGAAGAACTAAATCCTCTTCACCACTACACTTTCTGGAGGAAGGATGGGGCAAGCAGATTGGATCGGTTCTACGTAAAAGGAGAAGCATTTAATGCAACCCAATGGGTGGACGTGGTGGATCCAGCTCACGATTCTGATCACCAAGAATTACGCATTGTGATCAAAACTAAAACCGATCTCAACAGAATTCGAACCAGAATCTATTATCCAATCCAAAGTGGGAGGCCTCAACGAGTTCAAGCAAAAATCGAGGAGCATTTAACGATTCTGCTTGACCAATTTGACGAGGAAGGGGATTTGGTCAATAACTGGGACAACCTCGTTAGAAACATCCAAGCAATGCTAGTGGAAGTACGACAAGCGGACCGGAAGCAGACGCAGCGATATTATCAAAAACTACGGTCTGAAACGAGGATACCAAGAGAAACAAGAGCAGAGATCATCCAGGACCGAGAAAGAGAGGCTAAACTCCGAGCAGCACGATCCTTTGGTAACAGTCTTCGAAGATCCACTGAGGAAATTCGACGATTCTACAAAAAGAACTCAGAATGGCAACGAGACCAGACTATTAGCTCAATTCAACCATCTCCAGGGCATTTCTATGCAGCAGACCTCCCGACCGAGGAGAGAATGGCGTCTGAGTGGAATCATATACTGGGGATATCTCATGCCACAGTGCCAGCAAAGTCCTTGGCAAAGGAATTTGACAAATTTGTCAGCATTGAGAACGAAAAGAAGGTGAATTCTACGGACCTCTTAAAGTTGATGGAGCCAATAACTGAAGATGAAACCTGGAAAGCAATTAATCAGCTCGAACGGCATAAATCAGCTGGAACTTCAGGCTTGAACCACGACTTCTATAAAGATTTCTCTACCCAACTCACCCCGAGTCTTACCAGGCTCTACAATATGATTTTAAAAGGGGGAGGGGTACCCACTTCATTTCTGGATGCTACCATAATTCCACTTAGAAAAAATGGTGATTCAGCTGATGCCATGGATTATCGACCGATAGCGTTGCTTAACACAGCCTACAAAATCTTTGGAAGAATTCTCGCTGAGCGACTTCACTTACTGCTACCGAAGCTCATCAGCAATTCACAGCAAGGCTTCATCAGAGGCCGGTCCATTGACAAGACGATCACAATTCTCAGATCTGTACTCCAAAACAGTGAATCTAAACCGGAAATACCTTGGGAAGACAGCGCAGCGGTACTCTGCCTAGATCTACGGAAAGCCTACGACACACTGGACAGAAACTATATGTTCAAAGTACTGCGCGAGTACGGTTTTTCAGAAGATTTTATCAACGTGATCAGACAGCTCCATGAAGGGACCACAGCACAGTTCCTAGTAAATGGATATTGCTCAAAAAAATGGAATGTAAATTCCGGAATACGTCAAGGGTGTCCACTGGCACCACTTCTTTTTATATTGGCAGTCGATACTCTGGGGCAAGCGGTGAACCAACACCCTGCGGTGCATGGAGTCGAAATACCCGGCTCCAACAGACTACGCCATAAATTTTCAGCATTTGTGGATGACAGTACGATTTTCTTAAATTCCGTGAGAGAACTCGATAAATGCAAAGGCATACTTGACAAATTTGGAGAACTATCGGGACTACGAGTGCAACCCCACAAAAGTATACGGATTGGCTTGAACACAAACGGAACGCCTAGGCAGTGGAATGGTTATCCAGTGTTAAATCCGACAGCAACAACACGCCAACTAGGCTATTGGGTGGGTAATAAGCTATCCAATGCAACGAATTGGGAAATTCGGATAGAAAAATTGCAGAGACGCTTGAGAGTGGCAACGACAGTGGGTAATTCTATGGTGGAACGAGTTCTATTGTTCAATGCCGTGGCACTACCCGGAATTCTTTACACCGGAAAACAGTATGTACCGTCAAAAGCTACACTCAAACTACTCACAAATCTACAAAAGCAGTTCGTTTGGAATAGCAAGACATCAACAGAACCGACTCGACACAAGCTGAACCCTGCTTTACTGTTCACACCAAAAGAGCACGGGGGTTTGGGGCTACAGGATATTGATCGTGCTCTCCAAGCAACACGAAGTAACTTAGCGGATCGGTGGCTGCAAGGAGTCCAGGACGTCTACTCAGAAGCCTGGCATGCAATAGTTCATCCAGGCAAAAAGTGTATTTATTCCGGATGCAAGTTTAAACCTACATCAAAGACAACAGTACAAAAACTGAAGAAAGAACTGCACCAACAGCCGCAAATATCAGCAGCAGCATTGGGAACAGCAGAACTATGGGCTGCTCACTCAAGAAAACTGCTACCAACTAAACGAGCAACTCCAAGAAACGCAAACCTTGATTGGAGAAGGATCAGCAAATAGTTCATGTTACGTGGTGGATGATGAACGGGTACGGTTTACAGCGGCGCGGGTAAATACTGGGGGGTATGACTCGATAAGTGGTGAATTTATACTGAACGCAACTTGGCACCAGAATAGTGCAATTCTTGATGATCGAGGCCTTCCACTCAAGCTGCAAGATTTCCCAGCACTCAAATCGGCAACAGTTAAGGAATTACTGGTTACACCCGAAGAAAGACTGACATCAGCAGGGGAATATACAGTGACAATTAAACCACCGCTAGCAAAGGGCAAGACACTGAAAACCCATATACGCCAAATCACACGATGGAGTAGGAGCTTAATACTCAGTCTTCCGTGGGAAACTTGGAATAACACGCATACCAGTATAATACCAAGGAAGTTTCCAACGTTAGGAAGCCAAATAACTTGGAAAGTCACAAGCGGCAACTGGAACGAAGTCACAGCAACAATTGAATTGAGAGGGGGACCGCAACCAGTTTTCACTGTACGAAGAAATTCGGATGGGGTTACATGGAAAATGGTGGAATTGAACGACGCATACCAGGAGACTATTGATTTTGTGAAAGTGGAGGAATGGATGAACATCGAAGGTATAGCATTTTATGCCAATGCATCCGTAGCACTTTACCCATGGGAAGTACCAGAAGCCACAACAAACAAAAGCCTCAGTAGGACGCTTCGTCGTCAGAGATCCAAATATTTCAAACAGAATCACAACTACAATTGGACACGAGTTTTGGAAAAACTAAATCAACGAGAATCTACATCTACCTGGAGCAAGGCTGCCATGACTCAAAGCCCCGATAAAATCTGGCAAAAGCAAGAACTTTTTACTGACTATCAAACTTGGACAATTTACAGGATAACTCTAGGCATTCTCAACTTGTACCACGAAAATGGTCCAGAATGCCCAGATCTGACATGTACCTGTCCTCAAGAAACAATTGATCATATCATTTGGAACTGCACCAAGGCCCAGTTGTCATGGAAACGCTGGATGGATGCTTGGCTAGGAAGATCTACCAAATCATCAGAACGAGCTTCAATGCAGCAAGCTCTAGCGTCACGCCAAGCACCGAACCCGTCCATTGAGTTTATGGCCATGGCTCAGCAATGTACAACACGATGGACATCATATCACGATGAAGCTATGGCACAGCTATGGATGATATGGACAACAATAACACCGGTAATGTTATGGAGACTGCGTAATCGTCACGTGTTTAAGGACCTCCCGACATCAGTAGAAGACACACCAGCAATAGTGTGGGCAGCAGGGATCTACCAGACCAAGGCTGTTATAACAACATGGACAGCTAGAACAGCTACTAGAATCCAAGGGTACTGTTTGGACGTCTGCTTACGAATAATGATGACAATACCTACAAGACAGGAAGCTTGTAGCCTGGATATGTGGATACTGCGTTATTGGATCAGCAATCCAACTTCACCGAAAGTTACTGGTGCGTGGATAGCTTATCATCTTGATGAAGACGGTCAATGGAACCTGTACGCAGCACAGAACATGAAGTTAACACATACGGGGGACTATAGATCCAGTGTGGAAAGCGTAATTGTGCAAGGGCTAACTGCTATCTCTGCAAACGCTGAACCTGCTAAAGTCTTGCTACGACTAGAGAGCACAGAAGCGATGAAGCCAAAATCAAGACAACAACATCAAATCGAAAACAAGTCGACAACGTACGAAACTCACTACACTCAAGCTCTTGAAAACTTCTTCGCGATCCAATGGGGAAAACCCAAGCTGGCGGCACTAGACCCACTCAAGCACTTAGCAAAGTCGCAGACGGCGATCCAGTACAATTTCAGCTCTGACCCCGCTTCATTAACTAGCCCAATGCGGAGTTATTTGGAACGGACAGCCGAGCTTCTCAATACAACAGGCACCAACCTCCCTGCAAGTGACAACTCAAAACGAAAGACGAAGTCCATAATGGACCGTCTAAATGCATGTCAAAACAGGCTTCTATAGAGTAAATAAAATCACAAATAGAAGGCCAAATTTCTCTCTCGGGCGAAGTATCCGTAATGGCGAGCCTGGGGCTGGGCGACGACGAAGCGCTGTACACAGTGATGGCATTAAAAAAAACTAATGGGTTTTTTGGGCAATTAAATCTCAAAATAACGTTTAATTAGATGGGATGTCAAAATTAATATTGACAACTGAGATTTATATCTCTGATTTGCCATAAGTCTGTCTAAACAACCCAAAGTAGGCATCGGTCTACGTAGCCTGCGCCGTAGCTGCTCGATGGACACGACGGAGAACTCGCTCCCGATGGTTCTGGGCGCCGTCCAGGCACTCTACGGCATGGTACGTCTTGTTGCAATGCTAGACGTGCGGCTTCCGCTTCCAAACTCATCATGCAGCCTGTGCTATTCACATGATAGTCCAATTAACTCATTAACTCACTCTTCCCTCATCCCCCACTATTTCACAGGAAGGAGCTGCGCGACAGCGAGAAGCCAATGAATTCCTCAACAACTTTGCAGCTTCGTATGCGGCGTGGTCCGTAGGCTTCCAATTATTACAGGACGAGACTCTGGCGCTGCCTCCGGAGGCGCTCTTCTTCGCAGCCAACATGCTCCACACCAAAGTGCGCAAGGAATGGGTGCGACTGCCAACAGAGCAGAAGATAGCCATGACAGTACCACTACAGACAATCATGCAGATGCTGCGGGCTGGTACACGACCGGGATTCGACCAGGGGCCGCTAACCAGCAAGCTTTGCGCCATATACGCGGTGGTAATGATCTCGTCTCCGGACGACTGCAGAGCTTTGTTGTCACAATTGCTGGCAAGTTGCTCGGCATCAGGAGAAGCTGGAGAAATTGCGTTCTTGCTGACATTTTCTCGCTGTGTTTGTGAGGAGATGGAGGACGCTGAGTTGGCATTCGCTGCCAAAGATGCAATGGAGATGCACCTCTCTGCGCTGAGTGGAGACTTGGTTACGCTGACCGGGAAAATCGTGCTCACACGTGGAGATCAGGATGCGCGTGTGGCCTCACTTCATGGTGAAGCTTTAGCGTGTTTGAATGTGTGGGTTCGACGCGCCGGCCTCTCGTTGGCGTCGCTCTACTCTAAGGATGAAGCCGTACTGCTTTCACTGCTCGAGGCCCTACAGAACAAATCACAGCATTTACAAGCATGTGCTGAGATCTTAACGAAACTTATTACGGTAGCGTCATACCCGACTCCAACTCAGTTGGAACAGACTCTACTAGTTGTGGCACAGGGATTGCTCAAGACTCGTGCAGCGTGCGAAAGCGCTCTTGCCGCTGACGAAGACGACGTGATCCACGCACTAACTGATGTCATCTCAACATTCTGTGAAACATATGCGGACTGGATTCTGGAGGGAGAATATCCACAGGAATCGGCTGCTCTGGGCGAGCTCATGCTGTATCTGGGCTCACATCCGCGGCGACAGATTGCGTCCCTCACTCTGGAGTTTTGGATGGTCGTTCAGGATGAACCTGTCGCGTCACGGTATCAATTCTTCCAGCATGACGCCTTCGTACGGCTATTTGATGTCATGCTCAAGCAATGCTCGTTCCCTGCAGGTAACGCAGAGGATATGGATGAACTGGAGCTGGACGATCTCATGGCTTTCCGAACCGGTTTCCAGGGTGTCTCGGAAGCCTTCATATCGATCTTTACGTTACTAAAGGAGCAATATCTTGCTCATCTTCTTCCTATCCTTACGTCGGCTGCATCGAGTGAATGGCAGAGCGTTGAAGTCGCTCTGTTTGCTGTCTCTACAGTGGCTGATGAGATCAAGAAGAAGCTGCCGACGGCATCCGCTAGTACCCCGCAGCAAGCAGAGTTGGAGAGCATGGTGTCACAAATTATGCAGGCAGTGTTGAGCTCAACAGCAAACACGCATCCTCTCGTAATCACTACAGCTTCGAAGCTGTTGGGTCAGTTTGCTGCGTGGATCAACGACAAGGCGTTGACTGCACGAGCTTTCGACACTGTGGCGGCTGTTCTACAGTACCTGACTGGTGCACTTGGACTTGATGCGAGTCGTAGTAACGCTGCCAAGAGTTTCATGCAAGTTGCAACGAACTGTACGGCATGTCTAGCCGAGATGCAACCGAACTTCCTCGTGGCTAGCGTGCAGCATTTCGATGCTTCTGGTCAACAAGCTATGCCGATCGAGGATCGATTACTGGTCGTCGAGGGTCTCGTTCGATCCGCAGCTGTATCTCCCCACTGTCCGATGATTCTACAGACCGTTCTCAATGACTCACTGATCCGTCTGGACCAAGTATTGATAGCAACTGGTGTTGATGATGTGGCTGTGGCTAGTTTTGTGTGCAGCGAGCTTCAGGTACTTAGCAAGGTGATGCGATTCCTGGACGCTCCTGCAGACGTAGCGGGGGGCAAGGGTGTTACGGGGTGGGCAGTGCAGCAGATTTGGCCCCACTTGGACCCCATTACTCCACGATTCGAAACCTATGAGGTTGTGATGACTGCTCTGTTCGAGTTGTATGGATGGTGCTTGCAGAGTCTAAGACAAGAAATGGCTTCCGAGCTCGGAGGAATCGCTACATTAATCCTTCGAGTGTTCGAGCAACGACGTTTTGTGGCTCCACTCGAGTGCGCGTCTGTGGCTGTGGATGTTTTCGGAAAGGATGCAAGCGCTGACATTGTCGAGAGTTTCCGGGGGTTAATGGGAGCATTGAGCCAGTCGGCGTTCCAGTTCTTCACGACTCATTCACTGGCCGAGTCACCAGATGTGCTGCGTTCCTTCTTTGAGCTGGCCTATCGCTTCTTGCTCTTCTGTCCAGCAGCGTTGCTCTCTGCTCCCGAGTTCCCGGTGCTTATCGATCTCGCACTGGCTTGCCTGGGCAACCAGGATCGTCCATCTACCAATGCAGTGGTCATGTTTCTCACTTACCTGCTGAACGAGAGCACGATCAAACTGGCCTCGTTCACAGCAACAATCAACGCCAGTGTGTTGGATGCTGGTCAGACTGAGAAGTGGCTCGACAGTCTCATTGGAGCGCTAGCTTCGAAAAGTCCTAGCGCTCTCTATGACGCGTTGTCCAAGCTCTTTTACTCACTGCTGACGAGCTTTGCCGACAATGAGCGCGTGCGAGCGGCGTTGATGCAGTCACTAACCCATGACGCACTTGGTGTGACGGAGCTTCGTCCAGAAGACCGACAACAAGTACTTCACTTGTGGCTATCACTCGCTTCTCAGCCCTCACGCTATTCAGAACGACGCTTCCGTGGCCTGTGCTCCGAGTTTGCTAAAGTCTGTCGCAAGGAAATGACAGCAGACGTGCTCCACTCGATCGAGATGCCCAACTAGCAATAGAAACTGCTACCATATCACCTGTAGTCATACAAGTGTGTGTTTCATGCAAGGTCGTTTATCACATGTATTGACTGGCTGTAGACAAAATGAGCCATCACAAGCACAAAGTTCTACCAAAATGATGCAGCGTTTCCGCGTTGATGGCAGCAGAGATCTGCAGTATTAAGCCAGCTCTCCGACCTACAATATATAAGAACTGTTAGAATGCAAGTCACCTTGTCATCATTAACTTGCCACGTACGATAGGGTACTTCTCGTAATAGAACTCCTTGGTTTCTTCGAGTTCCTTCTTTTTCTTGTCGTTGAAGTCCGAGACGTCGTCGCTGATGTCCTACAAGCCAAGCAAAACCGATTAGCGCACTGCCCGCTTCTCGTCCATACGCTTATATTCCGTACCTCCTTCTTGAGCGAGCCTAGTGCCAGAGCACGCGTGCAGGCCTGTAATACCAACATGGACATCATCAATCAATACATATTCCATGCAAGTCAATTTCCAAAATCAGTTATCAAATGTACCGTTCCGGCGAACTGGTTGTAAGACTTGCCCTTGGCGTAGAACTTGGCGCCTGATGTCACGTCCAGCACCTGCAACAGCAAAACAAACATGTAGCTTTTTGTCAATACTCCGTCGTTACCGCAAACCTGCAACTTCATTGCGTACCTTGCCGCCAACAGCCAACAAAATCGGCTTCTCCTCATCCGAGCCGTCATACCTGCAACCACAACCTTTAATACAGTGCAAACACTTCCGCCATCCGAATACTATAGCCCGTACATGCGCAGCTGGTCCAGCGTATACTTGGGCAGCCCCTCGGCCTCAGCCGCTGCCTCCTTCTCGGCGCCTTTGCCTGTGATGAGGATGGAGAAGGGGTACGGGCAGCTGTAGCCGCTAGCAATGAGCTGCTGCTCGATCTGCGGCCACGCCAGTGCCACGATGGCCACCACCAGCGCCACGCCGAACAGGAAAAAGCGTCCTAAGCCCGCCATTGTCTTTGAGTCTCTTGTAGCTGTCGTTCCGCTGGTCTGCACTCTGATTGTGAGGCTCGAGTCCTGTGCCACGTACGAACGACACAGCTTCTACATGAACTGGTGT